ATGTCCTACTAATTACTTTTGTTAACCTATCTTTCAGAGTATCAGTGGCCACATCCCCGTTGAATTGTAGTTTCATGTATAAAGGTTTCTTTCAAACAGTTGAAATCTCAGACTTCTTTCTTGTATCATATGATTACAATGAGTCGCCATAGATTGTTGAAAAAACATTTTGGAGCTAAATACAAGGAATGGGTATCTATTCTTGTTGCTCATTCAACAACACTTTTATATTCCATCATGACAACATTAAATTGGACAAATAAATCTAATTTTACATTTTGAAAAAAATGTTTCTGACAACAAGCTTGTTAGGTTCTAAAGTGATAGGAAATGTTTTCTGTTTTTATATTCCAATATAATTGTTAAAAGAGCTAATTAAAGTGAGATTATTGAGATTGTAATCAATTTCATCATTGTTCATATTGAAAATGGTTGTAGGAAAAGTAGTATCGTAGACATTAATATCAATCGCATAGTCGTCATCTACAAATCAGTTCATTAACTTAATTATACAACAGTTATCTTCCCTACAGTTTGTTAGCATTATCATTTCATTTCCCTGAAATCAGAACATAAAAAATGAGATCATTTGCATATGAATAGACAATTTACATATTAGTTTTCGATATGTCCATTTGGAAAGTTATAAATTTATAGGATAACGTAAATCAAATTTAGGAATGTTTATGATGAATTAGGAAGTGATTAATAATTCATTATCGAAACCAATTTATATCCGATTAGTATACTTTTCTAATAGTGACTTGACTTAAACCACTCAAGATTGTTAGTGCTCTCAATAAATATTCACTGAGATCATATTGTACAGAACTCTCAATTACATCAAACAATGATCTATGAAGACATTCCATTCGGTAAAGGTGGCCGATCATTTTAATGCTGAATAGATTATGCTGTGGGATTTAGTTACTTTAGTGATATACATCCTTATTACATTAGAGTTGAATCTTGATGAAAATAATAAGCTAATTCTTAACGTCGAGACTAGCTGCTGAAAAATTCAAATCATTGAATTATATATCCATATCTACTGAACACCTCATTATATGCTGAATATTAGACGAAATATTTTCCCATATATTCAGCTGTTGATAAAACATCAAAATTCTATCATTCAATAACCATTTTTCTCACTCAGTTTAAATTCGTTGTAAGATACATTTTGAAAATGGCAATAGAACTACCCAACTATTTATTTATTAACAGAAATTATTCTTTGATTTCGATCATTAATCGATTGATGTTAGACCACCAATGAAAACCAGGAAGTACTGGACCGAAGGTCCTGGGTTAGAATCTTGAGTGCGAGATCGTGGATGCACACTTCTGACCAGTCCTATACTAGGACGAGACGGCTGTCCAGGGCTTCCAGGTTTTCACTGGCAATGTAATATCATTCAATTCATGACCTTAATCAAAATTTTTGTAATCTTCACAACTCCATACTGATAAAAGTTATTTTAATTCTTTTCTCTCTTTCATTTAAAGAAAAAGGTCATTTAATTAAAATTTATCAAAATGAAGTATATAAACTGGGACATTAAATGAAATTACTTTTTTCTCCTAAATCTTAGTTTATCTTATGAACTCGTATGAATTATTTTATGTATAAACTGTTGAAAATCAATGTCCACTAAAATTCATAGATTGATATATAAATAGTTATTGTTCAGATTATTCTGTATGAATAAGCTATATTACATCCAGTATATGGGCATGTTACGCTTGAAAGTTTATCTGGAATTTACAAACGTTGATTGGATGGCAAATCATACATCAGCGATGACACCCTACTGAAGATAATTTACACTAGCACCTGAGCTAAATCTGGATTTCTTTAAAAGTTAGAAGTTTAAAAAATATATCACAATAGGTCATACATTATTGATGGTATTTAATGGCTGCTCAGGTTTCTATTACGAGGTCATCGAATTTGAAAATGTAAATTAGCTTATGGTAATTTAACAATCTGAAGGTGTTTTGCGCATTGTAAGACTTCATGACATCAATCGATTTTATGTGAGGTCATTATGTCTACTGTTAAAGTGTATTAAAGTAGGATGTTAATATTATTAAAAATTTATTCAGCCTTATAAAAAAAGAAATTATATTGTAATGATTATCAATATGAATTCGGCAAACTAGTTATTAAAATAAATACTCTATCTTTATTATTTAGTATTTCGGTAAATAAGTTCACCTGATGGGATCATTAGACAAATGAAATGTATATTGAGGAAGGTATATCTATACTCCGCCTGTAGCTCTTCTAGAGTTACTGCCGGTCCCAAGCTCGGGTAAAGGAGAAGGGTTAGGCGACCCTATCTCGTGGAAAACTAACTCGTTAAAAAACGCTAACGAACTTGTTAATTTAATATCTATGCCTACTGTAACAATTAGAATCTGAAAGAAAACGTTTGTAAATTCATTATAAACTAAAAACTTATTAGTTTTACTTCCATTTTCATATTAATTTTCAGCGTTTATCAAAGTCATTTGTACAAAAATCTCTTTGAAATAAACATAGAACTAAATAGGTATCATTACCAAGTTTTGATTTGATAATTTTAAATAATGTGAGCATCGGGTAGATTGTTATGAATAAATTAATATATTTGTAATATCCGAATGAGTAGAAAAGTGAGATTTTCTGACGTTTTGTAACTAAGTGTAAGCCATTTCTTCGGTTATTTATTCTCGGAAGAAATGACTTACACTCAGTCACGAAACGTCAGAAAATCTGATTTTTCTACTCATTGGGATATTACAAATATATTATTTGGGCAACCGCTCACCGATTGTCTTCAGTGAGTTGATATCTCACAACAGACGTGGTTTAACTCCACTGGTCACTGCTTCCCACTAGGAATCTAGGAAATATATCTTGAAGTCAGTCACTAGTGAGCATATGATTATAACCAGAAGGGTTTTTGTGGAGATTTCAGTTTTTTCATAGTTGAAATCATGAGTGGATGCGCACTGCTGAGGAGTCCCACAATATGACAAAACGGCCATCCAGTGCTTCCAGGTTTTCCATGGGGGTCTAGCTTCAATTGATTCATGATTTCAACTATGAAAAATACTGAAATCTCCGCGAAACCGCTTCTAAATATATTATTTATTCATAGAACTAAATATTTAATTTTCAACAGTAACAAAATTCTATTTATTTACGACTTCATTAACTCATTGTTAGCGAAGACAACTGGATAAACTTAGCTTAAACTTACAGATTGTAGCAGAAACCAACGGTTTTTACTCAACAACTTTGTGGAATCTCAGACAATAATCCAATAAACTGGTATCATATAGATTTACATTTAGCTAATGGGTCTTATATATTGAAAGTATTTACCATCGATTTTGAATAAAACTGACATATTCTTAATGATTATGCCATTTGAATTTTTCTTATCAGAATGATTGTATGTCAACATGTGTTTAAGTTTATTTCACCTAAAGGAATCATTAAATCTATCAAATGTTTTGATGTTGTATGAGAATTTCAAGCTTCAATGCAACCCTTTAGCTTTTGATGAATATTAAAATTCAAAATTCTTAAAGACTTTATTATGTAACATTATTTTTAAAATCGAAGGTGTATTCATCCGTATGAGAAAACAAAGACTAAATGAATTAGAATGTAATCATTGTATTGGATAAACATGTAGTGTTATTTTAAATCAATAAGTTACGAGGAGTTAAACTGAAGGTGTCCATTCAGTTTCTTTTGCAATGAACCTTCATCTCTGTCTACACATTCGCGCATAAATACTTACTTGGCACTCAGTGTATAAAGCACTTTTCATTATCTATCTAGTTGGTAGCTCTTGAAAGACATTGCCTCGTCTAGCCGATTTTATGTTAACGACACTCGTAAAGTTATGTATTTCGTAATCTCAATGATATTCTTTGTTTCTGTAGACGAGATTCATTTATAAAGCTCGTACACAAGTAACATTAATTCACGAGCATATTTACAAATCAATAAGTATAAACATAGATTCGAGTGATAAAATTTATTGCTTATATGATTCAAGAGTTTTCGAAAGATAAAAATTGAAGAGACTCAGAACAAAGGTTTCGCTTGGTTCTCATTAACTACTTACAACCTTTATTATTTTAAAAACCAGAAATGACGCATACAAACCAACAATACTTTTATAAACGAGATTGTTCAGAAGTAGATATGTATCATCGTAGTGGGGTGACGACTCAAATAAAGTCGATGTGACTGAAAAGATGAACAGAAAAGTGGATTTCTGCAAATAAGTGACGTAATATTTCTTTAAATAACTTCTTCATTTTCCACTCAACTGATTTCGATCTGTGGTCACACAAGGTATTACGACTATGTCGAGAATAAATTTATTAACCATATTAATCACCATGTTATATATATGTTCTGTTTGGATACCGTTGATAATAAAAAGTACTAGCAGGGATCAGCGATTTATTCATGAATGAATTTGAATAAATGAGATCATACTGTTTATCTGTAATTAAATAAATATGATCATTTAGGAGAATGAGACCGTCATCGCATTAGTTTGAAGGGTTCATCCTACATTTATACAATCTAGAAATGTCATATTTATTTTGAAAGAGCAACATGAGTTAACGTTTATTGTTTTAACAAAGTTTCGATCAATACTATGTAAGGAATTTGTGGAAAATATTGGTTTTAAAATGCTACAAATTTAAGTGCTGACTAAGTGTTCTGAAGATTGAGTGCTCGTTAATAAACTTTGAGGTCCTATTTTCGATACCTGATTAGGTCCTGGATGCACACTGCTCAGGAGCTCCACATTAAGTCTGAACCGCTGTCTAGTGTTTTTTTGGCTTTAAATAGTTGTTTAACTAAAGGTAGACCATGGTGTTAACTATAACTAATATTTATTTTACAAGGTGTGTTTTCACATGTACTTCAATTTCCCAGCATTTATTTGACAGCGCCTTTCTGTATTATACATTTTTAGACTTTTCTTAACTAAACGAGTGTTGGGTAAAAGGAGAGTTACAGTGAACTAAACAATATATGGCTTAAATTCCATATGGCCGAAAGGATCGATATAAATGAGAACTATGTTAAAATATTTATGGACTTTCATTACTCTTCGACATTTGGAAATCACCTTCTTGAATAATCTACCGTAACCAATTAACTAATGGTCGTGATTCAGACCAATACACACGACAATGTTATGGATGTAATTCAGTCAGATAATAAAGAAGAAATCAATACTCATTCTAATAATTCTAGATTTAATGATTCCAATCACTGTTTATCTACTGCCAATTCATCCAGTCAAAATTATTCTACAAATGGCTTAGACAATCAAATATTGATTGATAACAAAAATACATTGAGTTCGCTTACAAACAATAATGAAGAATTATTAATTGATGGGTTATATAAACGAAGACAACTGTTGTTACAACGTTTATCTGTAGAAATACAGAAATATGAACAATTATGTTGGGATGAAATGGTAAGAGAAACGTTTAGTGTTAATATTATTATGTTTAAATGCCCATTTACTTCATAATTGTGATTGAATTCATTCCTTTTGTTAATTATGTCAATTCATGATATAAATTTAAATAACATTGTGACCATTTATGCTAGAGAAGTATTTGTTTACCCGATATTGTGTAGTTATGAAATACAAACCGAATTGATTCATCTAAACTAGACCACCATCGAATTTCTGGAAGCATTGAATGACCGTTTTGTTCTGGTATGGGACTCCTCAGTAGTGCACCTCCATGATCCTGCAAGTAAAACACGGACTCAGGACCTTTGGATGAAACGTCCGTCCAGTGCTTCCAGATTTTTAATGGTGGTTTACCTTAGATTGACTCATGAATTCAACTGTGAAAATACTACGATCTCCACAAATCCCCATTTTGAGAACATGTGTTTTATTGTGTTTTGTTGTTTCGTTCTGATTTATCAATTAAAATATATCGTTATTCAAATGATTATGTATCAATAGTAACCAATCTGTATGGACTCAGAATTCATTCATTTCTCGGGGTGTTTGCAATGAGTTTTTTTTACATTTGACCGCTAAATTTGGTTTCAGCAACAAAAAACCATAAACAAGTCACCAATTTGTACAAATGTGGATGTGATTTCTCCTCGTGATCGACCGGATCATGAGGACGTCAAACTTTGGGGGGCAACATGGGGTATAGTTGACAGCTAGGATGCAGCTATACGATCTAGACTTCTCAGATGATCTGGCTCTTCTCTCGCACACACAACAACAAATGCAGGAGGAGACGATAAGTGTAGCAGAAGCCTCAGAAGCAGTAGGTCTCGACATACAAAAAGGGAAAAGCAAGACTCTCCGATACAACACAACATGCACCAATCAAATCACACTTGACGGAGAAGCTTTGGAGGATATAAAAACCTTCACATGCCTGGGCAGCGTCATTGATGTACACAATGGATCTGATGCAGATATGAGGGCGCGGATCGGCAAAGCAAGAGCAACATATCTACAACTGAAGAACATCTCGAATTCACAACAATTACCAAGCAACAGCAAGATCAGAATTTTCAACACAAATGTCAAGACACTTCTACTGCATGGAGTGGAAACTTGAAGAACTATGAAAGCCATCATCCAGAAGATACAATTGTTTATTAACAGTTGTCTACGCAAAATACTTCGGATCCATTGGCCAGACGCTATTAGCAACATTCTACCGTGGGAGAGATCAAACCAGATTTCAGCGGAGGAAGAGATCAGGAAGAAGCGCTGGAAGTGGATAGGCCAAACATTGAGGAAAGCACACAAATGCGTCACAAGGCAAGCCCTCACATGGAATCCTGAAGGCCAAAAGAACACATTACGCCGAGAAATGGAAATGTATATGAGAAGAATGAACAACAACTGGATAGAACTAGAAAGGAAGGCCCAGGACAGAGTGAGTTGGAGAATTCTATTCGGTGGCCTATGCTTTATTAAGCGTAATAGGAGTAAGTCAGTAAGTTGTGATTATAAACAAATACTTATATAAAGTCAGGAGGTAAATTTTAAGGTTTTTTAATAAATTTGCTTCAATCCCAATTAAAAATAGGTGACAATTTGTATAAACAAATCAATTACTTAGATCACATGGTTAAAAATCAATGAAAAACTGTTAATTGGAAACTAATTGTTCTATAATGAGCAAATAATTAGTCTAAACATTCAAGTGTTTTATTTGACTGAATATTTTTTTTTGTATTTTGTATACTGCTTTACAAATTACTTGTTACTAACCAACCAAATTGAGTATTTTATTAATTAGGCTGATGTTAAAACGAAACTTCAACTCACATTTTTCACCACACATTAGAAATTGAAAGAACTCATAGTGTCATTGAATAAGAAGAAAGAGAATTCAGCGAAGAAAATTTTCTTTTCGATGAAATCATTTACTTAAGCTGTACATTCGTATGTATATAGTTATATAGAAAATATATGTCTACAAGAGGTTAGGAAAGATTGCATCATAAATTGATTCGACAATAAATAACAAATGAGGTTATGTACTAGTCAAGGGGTAAGGAAGAAAATAATTCATGGGTCAGATAATAGTCTAATTGAAAGATATAAAGAAAAGTTACAAACACAAAGGTTATAACAATAGGCTCCTGTAGACATATATTTTCCATATAACTATATATATACAAATGTATAGCTTAAGTAAATGACTTCGTCGAAAAGAAGTTTAGAAATTATATAGAAATATGAGATATTGTAAGGAGGAAACTTGATTCAAATTCAGAAATACTTATACAAAGGCAAAACATATAGATTAAAGACAATATATTATTATCATTGTAGATAATAATAATAATAATGTAATATGATACCCTAAGATGAAAACATAGGTGATTTTATTTTATATTATGTTTCAGTGACTAAATGTTTTCAAATATATTTTACTTTCCTATGTTGTTACCAACGAATATGATTTCCAAAAATGAACAATATTCGGGCGAACAATTGTTTTCAATAACTTCATCATCAGGCTCTACAGTTATAAGTCCATAATTATGATAATTTACAATGGCCAAAATGAGGCATGTATTAATTAATTTGACAAAGTTATACGTTAGAAATGGTGAACATTTGCATCTGTTACGACTTATATACTTCAAAATTGCATTATTTACAAATTAGAAAGGTTATTTAATAAAGGTCAAAATGAATTTGGAGTGAAGTGTCCAGTTACAATCGATATAATAGTAATTTAGAAAAAATGAAAATGCAAAAAATTGTGTGAATAAAGTGCATAGTAGGAGAATTTCATCTTGTCAATTGAGATCATAATGATAAATAGTAATAGTAATAATAATAATATTGTTGTGTGAATATAATATGTAATAAAAGGGGTGTTATTAAGGTAACTTCGACAAACGAATTGGGAATGATAATACACGTTTCATTTTGGACTTCGTAAATTATCATAATTATGGACTTATAAATGTAGAGCTTGATGATAAAGCTATTGAAAACAATTGTTCGCTCAAATATTGTTCACTTTTTGAATATTCTATGGGGATCTTTTAACTGTTAGAATATGATTTTCTTTTGAAAGTTCTATTAGAATAAGTGAAGTTAAAGGATTTACGTGGTTTCAATCTTTCTTTTCTTAGTGTATCTTAGTAACAAACTTTAGATTTAATTGAAAATTACATAACATCTATTTTAGAACAGTTTTTTCTTTCACAAAATGTCATTTTGTAGTGAACAAACACTCAAGTGAGGAAAATCAATTTGTTATTTAATACCTAATCACACAGTGGTTTAGTGAAATGTGAAAATCACACGTCAAATACATCGTTTGCACATCATCTTTGAATTATCTCTTGCAAGCTTCATTATTTTTTTTCATAATTGTTGTTATCTTGATTACTTTCAGTTTTCTTCTCTCTCCACTTCATTTCAATCTTCGCAACATTCTACTCGTAGACATTCCACTTCCGACTAGTGTTACATACTACTTATATCTATAAACATAAATAGCATACGCCTCTACACTTGCAATCTTTAAAAAAGAAAATGAACACATGTTGATAACATCAGAATTGACATTTAAAATCATGGAATTATCACGCTTTCAATAATTGAGAGGGAAGTAAACAGTAAAACTAAAGACATGATTTAAATTTAACCTTTTTGCATGTAAAATAGAAGATGATCTCTGTGTTTTATTAATGGAGATCGCAGATAACATGTATGGTCTATTTTTAATTTAGCCGAGTGAGTCTTTTTTTTACAACATTTAGGTTGTATTAAACATGAAAATTAGTGTTTACTTATAAATAAGAAATGCCCTACGTATATTCACTACTAGCATTAAGTTTATCGGTCAAATGTTGTAAAATTATGTTTGAATTTTTGAGTTAATACATATTGAATATTGGAATGAATATTTGAGGAAGTGTCTTTAAATGGAAAAAAAACATCCTAGGAATTTAACACATTGTATAAGTAAACGGTACTTTGGTTAGCAAAGTTAGGAAAAAGTCGCTTTCATTGTTTGTCTGGCAAAATGGTTTTACTTAACATAGACTGGAGGTAGGCATGATTGGGAATCTAAGGGAGTGACATGGTGTAATTCTACATATTTCTGTCACAGTGGAATATACTATATTATAGTCACTTTGGCTTAGAGCACATATTTACTCCAATAAAAAAGTTACCATTTTCTTTTTACTAGTTTTATTTTATGTTACTATAATTGATATACATTATAGTGCAGTACAAGGTATAGGTATTGTATCATTTAACAATGAGTGAGAGTATTTGAAGGTATTAGAAAGAATTATATAATAGATCAAAATATAATCTGAAACAGTCTCTCCAATCTTCTAAGTACTTTATTATTATCGTCTTTCAAAGACAAAGGTAAAACGTGAGCTTGAACATATCAAGTTCAATTTGTTGGATATCCTAGTGCTCATAGATTTTTGATCTATATTCGCCTACAGCCTATTTATCTAACCTTATAAATATTTTTTAAAGCTGCTTCTAGATAATATGGTCATTAATCTCCAATATATTTATTGATCGTACTGGACTCTATTTTTGAAATTCATATCAGATAATTTTCAGAGATGATCTTATCAAACTAATATTTGTTAGAAATATAATGTCATTATACCATTGACCAACAAGCTATGGGTTGCGAATTTATGTTTGAATGCTAGAGGTACTAAACACATGTTTATGCTTAGGTCACTGAAGTGAAAGATAAATTTGTTACGAAATATTTAGAAATCGTGTTAGAATAACTACACTTGTGCTCTGAATCAATGAAACCTTTTTGAACATCCAAGTTGAAGCATAAGAACTTCTTTATTTTCATCAGTACTTCAACAATAAAGAAAAACTAATGCTCATAATTAATGACTTTAATACATTTAATTTCTGTTGACTTTAAGTATTTCAAATACATTAAGTTATTTAAATAACACAGTAAT